ACGAAGAAGAAGTGGCCGTGGCCGAAGCCCGGCGGATTCGAGATGCCAAAGTCGCTGACGCACGCGCGGAGCCAGACCCGCGGCGCCCAGGCGCGCTCGTGCGCGCGCGCGTCCGCGGAGGCGCGCCCGAAGAGCTCGAGCCGGCACGACAGCTCGACGGAGCCGAAGGAGAGCAGGCCCGGGCCGACGACGGCCGCCAGGAGCTTCGTCAGCAGCAGCGCGAGCAGGTCGGGAAGGACGAGCAGCAGCGCCGCCGTCGCGACGAGCCACGCGGCGCAGGCCGCCGCGGCGCCGAGGGGCGGCACCATGTTAGGCGGCGTTTGAATTAGGATTCCCGCTCTAGTCTACCATCGCGCGCGCGGCGCACTCCGAGCTGCAACTTGGGCAGCTAAAACTTTCATTGGCCGAGAAGCCCCGGTCCTCCGCCTCACGGAACAGAGTTAAGATAGCGTGGGGAGGTCTGGGGATTGTTTTTTTTTGTGGGTGGGCGCCGCCGGCGGCCGCCCGGCTCCTCGGCCCGACGGGACTATGGCGAGTCGAGGTCGACGAGCTTCGGCGTCGGCGACTCGCGGCCGCCGCCGCCGTAGCCGGCGACGGGGTCGTAGGCGACGTTGCCGTTCGTCGGCAGGGGCACGACGCCCCCCCCGTGCTGGGCGTTGAGCACCTTGAGGAGCGTGTCCATCTGCGCCTGGAGGTTGTCGAGGCGCGCCTCCACGTTCTTGCGCTCCTGCTGCCGCTCCTCGTAGATCTGCGCGATGTTCGGCGCCTTGTGGTGCGCGTGGTGCTCGCCGGGGTGCGCCGGGTCCTCCTCCTCCTCCTCCTCCTCCTCCTCGTCGTCGACCATCTTCTCGAGGAGCACGGCGACGACGACGTTGATGAGCACGACGCCGTTGATGAGGATGAACGAGATGAAGTAGCCCGCGGCCAAGCCCGGCGACTGCTCCATGAGCGGCCGCGCGATGGCCTCGGACCAGGACTCGCCCGTGAGGACCTGGAAGAGCGTGTAGAAGGACTTGAGGAAGTTCCCGAAGTACTCCTGGCCGAAGGTGTACTGCGCGCGGCACTCCGTGAGGAGGCCGTAGCCCGGCGCGTCGCCCTTCTCGCACATGATGGGCGGCGGGCTCTCCGTGAGCGGGTCCCACTGGCCCTCGACCTTGGAGAGGAAGGCGCAGGACGCGGGCCCGCCCGTGTCGCCGCAGGGGTAGTTGTGGAAGAACTCGTAGCCCAGGATCGCGTAGATGCACATGACCAAGGTCAGGATGAGGAACGCGTTCATGACGCCCGGCATCGCCTTGCCCAGCGACACGACGATCTTGTTCAGCGACTTGACGCGCTTGAAGAGGCGGAAGACGCGGAAGGCGCGCATCATGCGCAGGTAGCGCAGGGGCGAGTCCGGTGCGAGCAGGCCCGCGACGTCGAGCACCGTGATCGACACGGTCACAAAGTCGAAGACGTTCCACGAGTCCTTCCAGAACTTCCAGAACCAGGAGCTGTACATGTTGAGGAAGAGCTCCATGAGGAAGATGACGAAGAAGAACATCTCGAAGCGCCGGAAGACGCGCACCTCGTACTTCGTGTTGCCGTTGATCGCGATCTGCGCCTCGATGATGTTCGTGATGAAGTTCGCGAAGATGAGCATGGCGACGCCGACCTGGACGTAGATGTGCTGGTAGACGAACTCGGCGTCCTCCTGGTAGTAGCGCCAGTTCATGGGGTGCGCGTGCGCGTGGTGGGGCTCGTCGCCCTCGGCCTCGTCCACCGCGAGGCCGTCGGCGCTCTCCGCGAGGACCTTCACCGAGTTCTTGCCGAAGCCGAAGAGCTGGGAGCTGCGCTGGAGCATGGTCATGGCGATGGCGCCCTCGCGGAGCTCGCGCTTCTCCGTCTTCCGCTTCTTCGCCGCATTGATGGCGGCGCTCGCCATGGGGTCGCGGGGGGCAGCCGCGGACGTCCGCTGGGTTGGGCGAAATCAAATAGGCGGCGGCGGGTCGGCGGGGACGCGGAAGCACCGGAACCGCCGCGCCCCGGTGCCCGAAGGTGGAGGCGCCGGCGAGGTCCGGGAGGCCGCGGGCTGTGCGCTGGGCGACGTCGCACGCCGGCTAAGTTTAGAGCTTACAAGGCCGCTAGATATCGGTGAACGATAAATGGTCGGCCAATGTTGGCTGAAAAGAATCTGCTAAAAATTAAAGTGAATGGTTAAGTGCACGGGAGCTGCCCCGGCAGCGCCGCCAGCTTCGGCCGGGGCCGAAACGACGTGCCCGGAGAGCGGCGCCGTCGCGTCGCGGCATGCGCCCGCCGAGAAGACCGGCATAAACACGTGAACGACCATGCCCGACTCGGCGAGCTCGAGCCAGGAGTCGTCGGACGACGACTTCGACGAGGTGAGCGCGAACGCGCGGCGCGGGTCGTCGCTCCTCGTGCCCCTGGCGCCGTCGCCGCCGCCGCCGTCGGCGCAGCGCGCGGCGTCGCCGAATAAGTCCTTCAAGAAGCGCACGACGGTCATGCTGCAGCAGACCGAGGTCGACGACGAGGACTTTGAGAAGAACCAGAAGAAGGCGTCCGCGGCGTCCAAGGCCGCGCCCGCGGAGAAGCCCCAGCGGCGGAGCTCCATCTACCGCGACGACGGCAAGGCCGACCTGCGGGCCGTCGTGCGGCTCATCAAGGCCTGCAACCTCTTCTCCAAGGGCTTCGGCGCGGACGACGCCGCGGC